GGGTAGCTTGAGGTGAGAGGGTGGGTGTGAGTGTGGTGGGTGGGTGAGTGTGAGAGGGTGGGTGTGAGTGTGAGAGGGTGTGTGAGTGTGGTGGGTGGGTGTGAGGTGAGAGGGTGGGTGTGAGTGTGGTGGGTGGGTGTGAGTGTGAGAGGGTGGGTGTGAGTGTGAGAGGGTGTGTGAGTGTGGTGGGTGGGTGTGAGTGTGGGTGGGTGTGGCTACGTCTACGCTGCAGAGTTTTTGCGCAAAAACTCGTGGCGCGTCCACGCTGTAAGCGCGTTTTTGCACAGCGGATGGTCAGAAGACAGGGCTTTTGGCACAAGAGTTGTTCCTCTTTTTACCAGGAATAAGCCTTGTTGCGCAAGAGCTCTTGGGCAAAACAGGCACATGTGGACGGACAACAGGGGTTTCTTGTGAATGGCCATCAGAGTTTTCTTGTGCAAGAGCGTCCGTGGCAGTGTGGATGCTCTCTTGTGCAAAAGCACGTGGCAGTGTGGGTTCTTCCACAAAAACTTCTTGCACAAGAAGCCTGCAGTGTAGACATAGCCTGTGTGCGTGTCTGTGTGCGAGAGAGAGAGAGAGTGTGTGTGTGTGGATGGGACTCCAGTCACATCCCTAGCCTCTGGGGCCACACTGCACACAGCTTAGGGCTAGTTGCAAAGGGGGATTTAAGTCCCCTCTAGCCTCCCCCATCCTGGAGCAGTCTGGGGAGATCTCCGATATAAGGCGCAGCTGTCTCAGTTGATGCCACCTGCCCACAATGCCTAAAGGGAGGGGCTGCACAGGTGGTTCTAAAGCTCCATTGTGACCAGCAGAACCAGCTGGAGGTGCCAATTTTTGCACACTTATCATAACACTCCGGCTTGTCGACGTTTTCCGTAAAGCCCTGGCTGCCGAGGTGAGCCCCTCAGCTGGCGTTTCCAAAGCAGGGAAGTCGGTGCCTAGCTCTCTTGGCGACAGAGAAAAGTGTGAAAACATGAGTTCTGACAGCTTGAAAACAACAACAAAGCAGCATGCACACACCTCCAAGCCAAATGAGACGAGCCAACATGTATCTGTGTTCAGCTCCTGGGATTTTAAGCCAATCTCTTTGTTTGGGGGGCCAGGAACTGGCTTATGATTTGCTTGGGGGGATGCGGGAAGGAGAAACAACCTGGATGTCTCTGATCCCAGGACAGGGTTGCAGGGTTACCGGTTAGATGTCACATGACAAATTCTTCTTATATTTGTCCGAATGGCTCCTGTGCCTGACGTGCACCAGCCCCACCCATGTATTGCCTGCATGAGGCTCAGCGGCTCCAGAGTGGGACCCTCTCAGACAAGCACTTGAATCGCAGTTGCTGTGTGAGCTGAGCATCTTTGCTCTGGCATCTGAGGGACACCCCTGCAGTCCTGGCTGTGGTGTAGACCATATCTTGCCTGGCATCCAGATCGACGTTGTTTCCATGCTGCAGAGGAGGGTCGCTCGCTTAGTCTCACCACTCCGAGCTCTGCGTCGTCCTTGATTTCCCCCATTTCTTTCCTCTCCAGTTCTCGCTGCAGAAGTGGTGAAGTTTTACTTTCCCAAAATGGTGGAAATGCACAATTATGTGCCAGCTAATTCAACGCAGCAGAAACTGTCCAACTGGAGCCATCTGAACAGGTAACGGTGCCCAGGTGCACGGTGCTGGGGAGGTCGGGCTGTGGAGCAGGGTGCTTAGGGAAAACCAGTGCGTCAGTTTCCCAACAGGATAAAGGAAACCTCTCCCGCATCTTTCCAGCCTCACCCCCACCTACCAGTACCGTGCAGCTTCTCCGCTCCTGCACCCTCTGCCTGTGACTTGGATGTCCTGTCTCTCCGACCGCCCCACAAGTCCTCAGCCCCTCTCTGGGGCAGGCTGCTGGAAACAAGAGCAGCAGGGTTCTAGGCCAGCGACGGGCAGCCCAGGCTAGTGACTGGGCCGCAGGAGAGGCCCTCCCTCATCTCGTGGGCTGCAGGATTGTCGTAGCCAAGACAGTCTTCCCAGATAGGGCAGGTTTGCTCCCAGCGCTTGCGTTCCTGGAATGGGTGGGTCTGCCGAGTGAACCGTAGCCGTGCTGTGATTGGATGCAGAGGAAGTGCATTGGCAGGGCAGCCGACAGCCTCCATGGGTCCCTGGGCAAGGGGTGGGGTGGGGGCCTGCTCTGCACTCCCACAAGGGGCGGGGCTTTGAGAGGAAGGGGCGGGGCCTCCCCACAGCCCTTCGAGCCGCCCAGGGCGTGCAGTGTGGCACTCTGGCAGTGATTTCAAGGGCCCGGGGCTCCGACTGCTGCAGTAACACCAGGGGTAGCCGGGAGCCTAGGACCTGTTTGAATTGCTGGGCCCTTTGCCCCCCCATCATCAGGACTTCACGGCTCTCCCAGCCAGCGCTGTGTGCAGTCGGCACACCCCTCGCTTCACGTGCCTCACGTTAGCAATGTGGGCGGGAATAAAACCGGCAGTCTGGCAACCCGGCCCCTGGGCAGTGGCAAAGAAAATGTCTGTCAGGCTGCCCACCCCTGTGTCCCTCCCCCCGTGAGCTGGACACGAGCCTCGCGTGGTGTGAATCAGTCGCTACCCGGCCATGCGGGGAGCTACCCTCACGTGCCCCGGCTGAGCAATTGCAGGGCTCAGGTCAGTTTTGCAGAGCGCCTGCCCGTCCTGTGGTTTGACCCTCTGCTGCTCCCGCCCTGGCAGGAAGGTGCTGAGCAAGCTGAATTTCTCCATCCCGGCGGACGTGATCCGGAAGATCGTACAGTGCACGCCCGGCGCGGTGGAGCTGGTGCTGATCCCGCTGCGGCAGAGAATCGAGGAGAAGCAGAGCAAGGCGGTGTCTGGTGCCCACAAGGTCAGCGGCGCTCCCGCGGCAGTGGGTGGCTTCGCTGTGTGACCGTTGTGTGGAGGGGCCACGTGCTGAGCCCCTTGCTCAGGCAGACTCCCCGGGGAGCACGTGCTGGGTGCGCACGTCCGAGGAGGGCCTACAGCTGTGGACGGGGGAAAAGGGCTGTTGGGGTCATCACAGGGACTGCCAGGGCGAGCGCTGGTCCTGACTCTCACAGAGGGGCGGCGTGCCTGTGGGTGAGTCACTGCCCCGCAGTGTGCCTCAGTTTCCCCATTTTCTAAGTGGACCTGCTAGGCCCTCCCAGCAAGCGGGTAGGGGTTAATTCATTTAATTCTTGTAGAATAGTGGCTCACCAGCCAGCACATCCCCCGTAACAGGCCCTTCCCCTTTTCCTTCTCCTCCTGACAGCCAGGTCAGGTCCTGTGGGGTCTGGTTCTTCTAGTAACGCAGCCCTGCAGCCCAGCCACATACACTGGGCTGCCTGCCTGGAGCCCACTGTCAGGGCCGCCAGAGGACTAGCTTCACGGCTGTAGCTTCCCTAAGCTTCCTGTCCCAGACAGAAAGAACCCCAAACTCCTTTGCTCCTGGGTCTCTCACTCCATGCCTCCCCCTTTGGGCCCTCTTCTCTCCCTGCTCTTAGCTCCTTCCAGTCGGGAATCCTGGGGGTCTCCTTACCGGGAGAGCTAACGGGGCCCACCCCAGCGCCTGTTAGCCCCCCTCCCTGTGTGGGGTTCGTAGATCCGATTCCGTGGAGGTCCTCGGAGAGGAGGCATTAAGCACATGGCTGTTGTTATTCGGAGTGCTCCCAGGGCGCGGCAGCACATAAAACAGTTACGGCTGCTACCAGAAACCTGCAGTTGGCCAGCAAGAGATGGAACATCATCAACCCACAGCTAACCCCTAGCCACACTGCTCACAGGGGCCAGTAGGGGGTGCATGTTCCACAGCAGGGGTAGGGAACCTAAGGCCTGGGGGCCAGACGTGACCCCTGGCTTGCCTGGATCCAGCCCCCCATCCCAACCCACGGCAGGGCTGGAGCCCACAAAACCTACCAGCCGGGCCACTTGGGAACGAGGGGAGTGTCTCTTTGCTTCTTCATTGGGGGCCACGTCGGTGAGGGGGGTTGGTTTTGGGGGGGTTTGCTTCTCACTTGCGTGTGGCCCCCGACTGATTTTTCTGTGGGGCAGTGGCCCCCAACCCAAAAAAGATTCCCTGCCCCGGTCTAGAGCAAGAGACAGCCCAGCCACTAGGGCAAGGACCTCCTGTGAGAGGCCCGGCTCGTGGGCGTTACCTCCCAGATAGACAGCAGAGGGCATCCGTGTGGCTCGGGGGGGCTGCCTGTTTCCCTGGGATCCCTGCTCTTGGGATGGATGTGCAGGACGGAGGGATCTGGGGGGTAAAGGCCACTGAAGGATTAATGCAGGGGCACTCCAGGATCCAGGAGGGTCTGTAACTTCCAGACCGTGGGCAGGGGAGGGCTCCCCTCCTCCTTCGAGGTGTGAGCCCACCTCCAGGCGCTCACCGCTAACCCCTCCCGGCCGTGCATTGTGAGCAGGCCCCAGGGATGCGGCCCAGGGCGGCTAGCGACTGGGTGGGCGCTGGCACATGGCGGGGGGGCCGGGTAATGCCATGGAAGGGCAAGCAGTGAAAATCTTCTGGAGAATGAGATTGGTCTCAAGAGTCCTCCGAGGCTCGGGCCACGCTGCAGACTCGTGGTGTGAATCCGGGGCTGGGGGAATCCACGGCCCTGAGGGACACGGTTACACTGGCCAAGCGCCTGGGGCAGACAGCGCGGTGTCGACAGGAGGCAGGCGCACCAGCACAGCTGTACAAGGGCAGTGGTGCATGGGGCTGCTGCACTCTGCCCCTCCCTGCCCCAGGCTAGTCACACCCAGAGCTGCCAGCTCTCCCGGATCGGACGGACCAGATGCCAGGGTTGGACCCAGAGCAGCAGTGTAGCCTTCAGGACTGGTGGCCGGGACCCCACGGATGGCAGGCTGCAGAGCTCATAGGAATGGTGGAGTGGTAGGACCCCATGGGGGGCTGAAACTGATGGGGCCAGTGGGAACCTGCAAGGGCCTCCTGGAGGCCGTGACACAGGGCCAGTGGGGCTGCCTGGAGGCCAGGACGTGGGGCCGGCCCCTGGGCATGGGGAAGCCGGGTGGAAAACTTGGGGGAGCTGCAGCACCCACCCACACGTATGTCAATTGCTTATGTACAAGTGGGGGGGCCACAAGGCCCAGTCCCCTCTGTGACCCCCACCATTGCACCTTCTCCTCCCGAGGCCCCGCCGCCTGGCCAAGCAGGGAGCCAGAGCCAGGCTGTGGTAAGAGCCACCCAGGGGCCCTGAGCCCCAAGCCCTAGGGCAGGGGTGAGGAACCTTTTTGGGTCAGGGGCCACAGACCCACAGAAAAATCAGTCAGGGTCTGCACACAAGTGAAAAACAACCCCCCCACACACACCAGCATGGGCTCCCCTGTGGTGGGGTGGGGAGCCCCAGGCCTCAAGGGCCGGATCCAGGCAAGCTGGGGGCTGCATCCGGCCCCTGGGCCTGAGGGGCCCCACCCCGGCCGTAGGGTTTCTCCTGTTGCCATAGCTACCTCTGGCGGAGGTGGAGCAACCACGGATC